GAGGAGATGGAGGGAGTAAATCCTTTTCTTCATCATTACCTCGTCTCTGCCACTGCCCTCACCTTAATTAGTCTCAGAGCAGCTCGCCCGGCCAGAAGTCGGCCTCATCCCTCCATCCAGCCCTCACCCCGTTCATCCCTTTCACCTCCTTCCCTTTCTTCCTCTGCTCTCTCTTTTTCCTCCAGCGATTTGCGCACCACCTCTACCTCTCTCGCGTTGCGCTTCATCTTCGTCTCGGTGGAAATTGACTGAAATACCAAACCCCCTAACCCCACAATATCAACAGCTGTGCAGCTATGCACACTCACACACACACACACACACACACACACTGTTTGCAAGGCACAAAGAGCTCAGTGTTGGTAAATACCGCAGACGCACACGCACACACACGCACACACACACACACACACACACCCTACAACATACGTGGCTGCTCCAGGCTTGGCAGCTATAAATACAGAGGACTGCAAAGAGGAGGAAACTCGGTTAAAAAGTTAAGTGGGGAAAAAAAGAAGCGCGCAGAGATTGACATCCCGACGTTTCAGCTCTCTAGAGGCTAAATTAGGAGATCCACAGCTCCACACACACACACACACACACACACACACACACACACACACACACACACCGACACACACATGCTCTGACAGACACCTTGACTGAGTGCACGTTGGCACAAACAGCTAGTTTGGAGGCGCACACGCGCACACGCGCGCACACGTGCACACGCGTGTCAGTCTCCCTGGTCCCCGGCTCCGGCGGAGACTGGAGGCCTCACCGGTGTCCCCGCTCTGCCTTCACCAGCTGAATGCTGATGGCCGCTGGGACGCCGCAGAGGCGGGAGGTTGTTGCACATTTTCTACACGAGACTCGGTGCAATATTTCCGCCTAGTTATTCTCCCAGAACTGTGCGAGCACAGACAGAGAAGGGCCACGACGGATGACGAGACCGGGACGGTGCATTTAAAGACCGGAAAGCACAGATTCAGGAGCAGAAACCGGGTCACCGCAGGGCAAGTTCAGGCCAATTAAAGTAGGAGCCAGAGAAACGGCCTCCAAAACGCCCAGGCTCCATAAAACAAAGTCTGTTCTGCCCGCTGTAAACTTTTTAAAGATGTTTGGTGAAGGCTTTTGTGTTCCGCGTTTGTATTTTGCTGTCCGCTCATTTCTTATTTGCAAAGCAGTTGTTTGTAACACACACATCTGTGCACGTTTGCTTATAAAAGGACTACACACCTAGATAAAATCAAAATAGTTAAACCAGCTTTTGACTATAGATTTTTTTTTTTTATGTATTGCTTTATTAACTTGTGCAACATTTTGACAGATTTCCGTCAGCCTCCCTGACCCTGAGCCTGGTTTAAACAAATAAACTCGGCCGTGTCTGGATGCAGCCCAGTTCTGGCAGAATTAGGCTGCAGCATGTGGGAAGACGAGGGGGGTGGAAGCAGGTCATGACAGATGACGTTGCACCCCTGAAACCAGAGCTCCATCCCTGGTTCTGGACCACACGGTAAGGCCCTCCGCGGCAGTTCCCCCTCCGCCCTGCAGGGGGGGCTGTTGACGCTCTCGCGTCAGGATGCGGCCTTCTGCCGCAGCCACTAGATGGCATTCAGGCTCTTTTGGAGCAAACCAGCAGGAAAAAAAAAAAAAAAAGGGGGCCTTCCCCCCCCCTCGGGTCTGGCTCATTTAGACGATGAGTTGAATTTGCTGCGGCCTCAGTTTGCACCCTCCTCAGTGGGTCAGATCTGCCTCCAGGTTTTATTGTATTACAGTAGGCGGCAGAGTCTGCGTCCACAGACAGGAATCTGTGACGTAAAATAAATAGATCAACTAATAAAGGCTTGCACTGGTTATGGTGGTGGCTGTAATATGTCTGTCAGGGGATAAGTGACATGCCAATCAATAAAAGAGTGGCAAAGTAAAATATTTCAAATATTTTTGCAGGAAATAGTGAGGGCCTATTTAAAGATTTGGTCGTTTTTTAATAAGTGCACTATGCCTGTAGAACAAATTTTAAGAATACATCCCCCATTTCCATGTGAATGCGGGAGGGGATATTACCGTTTTGTTGGAAAGCATCCCATCTCTAAATTCTTAAGCTCTCCGTACATACATACATACATACGCGCACACACATTTGCACACACACGCATGTAGAAAGAGACAGAAAGTATTCAGCCCATTCTTGCGTAAATCTCTTGGCCTCAGGGCTCTCTTAACCCTTTCTCCGTGTGAGTCAGTGTGCAGCCGTACATGTGTATGTGTGTGTCTTAGATGTCCCTTTGAAAACAGTAATGTCAGTGGACAGTAGAACTGGCTGCTGTGATGGAGCTGCACAGCCTCCACTCAAACTGCACACACACTAATGCTTCATTTAAGCAATTTGTGCAAAAAAAACACACACACACAATTTTGGAAAATTTATTCTGGGACGTTTATTATTGCAGCAAAGCAAGTTTGACATGTGCAGGGATTTCTCTGTTTGCTCCCACTACCATCCGTTTTGTCCGTGTTTTAGGTTGATTTGAGTTTGATAATGACTGAAGGAATCATTGTGCACTGTGTTTTGTCTTCCCATGTTAAGTTTGACATTAAATAAGTATAAGTAAAAGCTTTATTGCTTGAGCTAAGAATTTGAATTTTGCACAGTATTTTAACTGTATTTAAAACATTCTTATTATTTATATTATTATTATTACAACTACTACTACTAATAATAATAATAATGATAATAACAGTAATAATAGTAATAATGATGATGATAATAATATAATTTGACAGAATTGACTAAAATGTTAGTTCACAGTTTTTGTATTTCAGTGTGTGACGACAAACGACACACAGCACCTAGATTTCATCACAGGCAAAGATAGATAAACAAGTTTTTTTTCTATATAAGACACAGAGTTATCCATGCTTACCTACCAGAGTGCATTGGTCTTCATTTTCTAAGCATTCATGTCTCATGATAAATGAGTTTCGTGCTCATCAGGTGGACACGTGTGCTTTTGCCAAACTCATCCTAGCTTGAATTTATAATAATGTACTTCTCTAACAACAATATAAATCATCATCACATTATGTTAGAAAACAGATATTACTTGCTATGCTAAAGAATTCCTTTTAATCGGGGCCCCGATTTCAAACAATGCATGAGGGGATTTTGTCCTTGTTTTGGGTACAAACATCATGTTTCTTGAACATTATGATAGGGCGTCTGTGCCATACTTCTAATTCATTAAATAAATGACTGCATACTTGTTAAAAATCTATTTTATTACAACTATTTACTATTTATTGCCTCCACTCAGTTGTTATATTATGGACATATCAAGGATCTATTCATTTACACGTATCACAATGTATATTTTATTACCATCCCTTTATCTAAATCTGAATGAATATTTAAAGGACTTTTCTGTTGCACTCAATTTTCCAGATTTCTGATATGTGCATGATAATAAAGCTGAATGTGTAAATTATATTCAACTGGTGTACTTATATAAACATATTATCTAATGATGATTCTGTGCAAGACAAAAAATAATCCAAAGAAGCAGGACATTCCAGCAGGTTTTTGGACAGGGAAAAAAAAACAAAGATGTACCTTGACACAGTCGTGTGTTAACACATGTTTGGTAAAGCAGATTTTCCCGCCTGCGTTGGAAGCACACACACATTTACACGCTAAACTTCACAATCGGGAAGTTGTCTCCGGCTTGCTGAACCCCCGTAATGCTCCTATTAGCAGCTTCAGTTAAAATGGCATTTCATCAGGCAGCTGACAAGTGAATTATCCCTCTCTTTTTCCTCCCTATTTCCCTGCCTCCCCCCTTCTCTCTCTCCCTCTCTCCGTCTGCCTCGGTCTCCCACTCTCCCCCCGGCTCAGTGACAGTAGCCTTAGGCCTGAGATAAAGAGGAGGCACGGCGCTCTGCGCTCTCACACACACTCTGTAGAACTGAAGTGACATCCTGTCAAAACAATAGTTTACTAAAACAGTAACTTGTGTGTTCTGTCAGGCAGAGGCTGAACTTCAACTTTGGGACATATAGATCCCTCTTTCATATCGATCCCCCCTCCTCACATCAGGTGAGTGTGTGTGTGGGCACGTGTACCATTTGGGCCAGCGTACTTGGATCCCGGCCCAGAATCAGAGAGTGTGTGTGTGCGGATAAAAACTCAGAGGACAGTTTAGATAGCGTTCATCATGCAAGCGCCTGTAGTAGCTCCGGGGAGGAATTGCCGTCATTGACAAATCTCCTCCACAGCTCAGCCGCGCCGGTGCAGATTTCTGTTTCTTTTCCTTCCTCCCTTTTAAAAAATACGGCTTTCCGCCTCTGTTTTTGCGCGCAGTGGAGTAGCTGGGAGCAGCTGTGTGCAGGTGTGTGGACCCCCGACCTGCTAAGCTCATGGAAGAAAAATAACACAACAATTTTGAGCAAGAAATAAGTCAGCGAATCTGAGAAAAAGCTGTTTCAAGCTCTAAAGTTCTAATGTTTTTCTCATTCTCTTAAAGACTTTTATCTTAACTTGTGAACTTCTTGTCAAATGACAAAACATGCTACCTAATTGCTATTAAAAAAAGCAAAATAAAACAACAAATTTGTAATAAAACTTGAAATGTGCATACAGTGTAAACTCAGTCAGCCTTCTCTCCTGTTAAACTTCTCAAAAAGTTGCCTTTGTGTCCCAAAATGTCAGAGATTCCGGGTGCGGCCACCAGGGGGCACTGTACAGCGAAGAGCAAAAAATTGTGTCAAACCCTCCCTGTCTGCGCAAGGCGGGAAGGAAGCACAAAAAGAGATCTTGACCTCTCACCTTTTCATTAACAGAGGGGTTGAAAAAAATGAGAATTCAAAGGATAAGAAACGAAAACTACCATGAGAACACAATGGTATTCAGTGACATTTTAAAAAGGACAACCAGCTATAACGATTCACAGAGTGCTCCGTTTCTGGAGAATAGGCCTGTGGAGGCGAGTTTGGTCGTTTTTCTGTGCAGCGCCGGGTAATGCGGAGTGTATAATTGCGCCATATGATGAAACCGCACATACGCGCACAAAAAAATCGAGCACAAAGAAATCCCCCCCAAACACACACACACACATAGACAGACAGTAACAGACAGAGAGACGGACACATGGATCCATGTATAATATATTCCTGAGTGTGTGTTCGTGTGCGAATGCGCAGAGCCCCCCCCCCCCCCCCCAAAAAAAAGCGCTGTGTGTGTATGTGGAGTGTGC